TAGGTGAAGAGATTAGTGCAAGTATGTTTTTTTTGACGAAGTTATTACTTTGTGATTCAAATGTCGAGGGAAGCGGTGATGATTCGTTTGTTTCTAACGTGAGAAGCGACCATAAACTGGATAGCAGTGCTGACACGTTCTCTCGCTGGCTTGAGACGGAAAGGACGAATAGTCTATAACCCGCACAAAGTTTTTTCGGAGCAGGATGAGCCGTAACTATGGGATGGAGGCATAGGAAATTCCCCGTGGAGTTATGTTTTTGTGACGGAGCGTGGACTGCATATGGTGCGGTATGATTTGCGCCTCCTACTCCGACTCAGGATTTCGGTGATATGAACCTTGTAGTGACTCATGTTTGTGAGGTAAATCCAAACATGGGGGACGCACCTCAAATCAATTGGATGTTGCTCCGCATTTTGCTGTCATTGAACGATCGGCAATGTCTATTTTGTTCCCTACACCATGTGAGGCGAATTCGGGTTAATAGGTTGTTATTTTCCGGTCCGAACACTTCTCTGTTTACGCGTTTGAAGATGACAAATATTGGTTTGAGGAACGTCTCCGTGACTGACGTCTCCTTCGGATGTGCAGATGACCAACGGTCGGTTGCATCTCACTCATGTGAGATATTTGCTGATTCGTGACACGTTGGACGAGGAGTTGATCTGGCGGGCGGAATGATTTTAGTTTGTTCAAGACGGTACTCCCACTCGTTGGGTTGGTTTTATTGGCTTGCTCGAGATAGACAACGTTTTTTTCCTGACTCGCGCGGGGATGTTCGTGCCAATGTGGCCAGACTTCCAGATAAGTTTCATGGATACACCTTGTATTTTCATCGCGTGAGCAACCTCCAATGCCTTTCTCGAATCATTTTGAGTGTTAAGATACAACGTTGTCCAGATTAGCGGCACTACGACTAAGCACCTCTTTTGGATTGCCCTAATGATTGCACTATCATGCTTGGCATTGAGGGGTAATCAAGTGTGCAAAGTTTTTGGCGCACGAAGTTAACCTAACTAAAAGTGACATTACTTGGAATGATTGAAATGACACATCATGTAGTGGCACAATGGAGATAGGAAAAAAAATAGCTTTGACAGACCTTTCATCAAGTCGAATACAGACACGATTGGATAGTTGACCAATGCTTTACTTTTTAAATAGCATGGGTTTTATCGTTGGAAATTGACATTGATTTGACTTAGATGTACTAAGTCAAATTTCTTTGACATACTGTTTTCGCTTTTATATTTGAGGGACTAGGATTACTAGTGGTTTTACGCTTGGTTGAGACCGTTCTAATCGACCGACGTACACTTTGTACTTAGGGGATCAGCGCCCTAAGAAACGGACGACGTTCGAGTCCACTCAACGTTTAACTAAGTATTTCCTGTACTGCAACGAAATGAGCAAACGCTATCGGTTGACCCACCTTTGTAATTGCATTTAAAGAGCATTCGCATATGGGTCGGTAACTCGATAGGGATACGCCCCTAAGGGTGGTGACAGCCTCTTAGGGAAGGCAAGTTGTGCCCCTCGGAAACCTATCCTGTCGTAAGGGACTGTGGGAAGTACAGTTGGCGCACCCCGGCCGGCTAGAGCGGCGAAGGGACGATGCGACCTCGCCCGTCTCGGCGGTTCGCGGAGTTATTTTGCATCATCTATAAGTTGTTTTTTGTTTTTGTTTCGTTTTACTCCTGCGTGGCATGGCCGGGAAGGCTCCCGCAGTTTGCAAAAAAGCGGGAGCCGATGCGCTCGACATCGTGACCACCCCATAGACACCCCACCCTCGCCCAGTCCCAGCATACAACAACCATGGGCTACTGCTTGGGTGGTGCACAGGCAGTGTCTGTAATAGCTTACCCGGATCATCCCAAGGCGGTACATCAACTGGACAAAAAAAAACAAAAAACTAGGGCATACTCACACCAGCACCTTTTTACTTATTTCTGGATGACAATGCAGCCAGATACATCCATGTCCGGAATGTTAGACGTCCGCGATCTTTGGCGAAGGGCCTACTGGCAGTCACACTACTTGCGATCCACCAAGATTTCGAATGCATCTGGTGAAAATGATGTCCAAATGCATTGTTCAATGTTGGCGTCCCGAAAAAACGAAAGGTGGAACTTGCAGGGCGGCAGAAGAGAGACGACGGGGGTAAGTAGTGATTTTATTAAAAAATATGTTTTTGTTGTTTTCTGTGCACGCGTATGTTCGTGGGTTCGAGTGGGAGATATGGAAATCTGGCCTACGGCCAAGATTGTGAATGCAATTGGACAGCAACATGTCCAGATGCATCGGAGATCTTGACGATGGTGCGTTTTCTGTAAGTTGTGATGCGTAGTGTCAGTGAACGAACAGGAACGAGAAAAACTCCCAATTGTCCTATTCGCCTGTGGTTACTAGCAGAGAGATTCAGCGCACGTGGCGCGCTCACGGAGTCGTCGCTATCCCTGTCCCTGTGGGCGGGCACGAAAAAAGGAGCGAGCGGGTGTTTGGGCCTCGCTCCACTACTCACCAAATCATCTACTTCATCCTTTTTGGTAGTACGGAGCATTCTCATCCTAACGCAGCTATCTCATGCTCTCACTAGTAGTCTATGTAAGTATAGTACGGGGGAAAACCAACCGACCCGGATCTCTCCCCAGCCCACGGGATAGATTGGCACCACAACTGTGGTGCGAGAGCAAGGCTTCCCCATCGGCAATGCCCACCCCTCGCCATATTTTTTGCCTTATGTGTTTTGTGTGTGTGTGTGTGTGTGTGAGAGAGAGAGAGAAAAGGAGAGGTGCGCCGGGCGCGGTGGCTAAGGTAAACTGCCTCGTGGAGCTGCGGTGGGATCCCCTTCGTCGGGCTAGCGCGAGTTTAGGCTTGGTTTTGATTGCCCACCGGTTGCTGCCATCCAATCTCAACATCTCACAGCCGCACTCTGCCCACGTTCATAAAATACACCAAAAGAGGATTGAACTCCCGCTAATGGGAGTTAGCCCCCGGAATGCCGGAGCGATGCCCGTAGGCTTGCGCCGTTCCGCCCTTCTCCTTCGGACCCCTCCGCTTCAGTTCCTGCTCTTGGGGGCGGGCAGCAGCGGGTGGAGCTGCAGAGGAAGAGATCACGAAGGGAGACCGAACTCCACTAGTACCTTTGCCGCTTGGGAAAATAGCGGGCCTCGGGTAGGCGTTCGACCTTTTCAGAGGCCAAAACGAAACGACGGCCGCCGATCAGATTTATCAATGGCAGTCGTTGTCAGGCCCGACCTCCGAAAATTCAGGAGTTTGGGAAAACTGCCAGTTTTCCCTATTTTCTTTTTTTCTTTTCATTCTATACTCTTCTCTCAACTTCTGTTTCTTTTACTTTCCACTACCTACTCCTAAGACTATCTAGAGGGGACCCTTGCAAGCATAGTTTCCTCTCTCTGTGAAGGGGAGATTTCATGTTGCCCATTGCCCCTTAGGGTATAGGGTTGGGGCCGCCAGTGGGGGTCTGGCTAACACAAAGACCGAGACCTGCCAGTAGCTGTGCCTCCCTTTCTCATCGTCCTCCACCTTCATCGAGTTTCCCTATTTTCCCACGGGGGAAAGGTACTACTGCCGCAAAGAAAAGAAAAGAAAAGGGATTGGTAAGGCTCACAAGTGGCATTTAGGAGGTCTTGGGTTCAATCCCCATTGGCCTCATGTACCTTCCTGGGCATGCTTGGCGGCCCACCACCTAGAGATCGACCACGGGATCCCCCGATTGGCATTTAGCAGAGTCTGCTGATGTTCATAGTTCATAGGGGAGGGGACCTGAGGGGAGGCACAGGGATTGGTCCTGTTGGCATGGTCCCTGATGCTACTGGCTGTCCCCTAACCAGTATCGCCCACCTGCAGGTCGGGAGCAGCCCCCCCATGTTCTCTCGTGAACATGGTTCTGGCTGCTACGGGGTTCCCGTATGCCTACAATTAGGAGTAGTGGTAGGTAGGTAGTGTGAGGTGAAATTGAGAAAAGAATACGCGAGAATGGGAGTATTGTATGCCTCAAAGACAGCTAACCTGCAGGTCGGGAGCAGCCCCCGCATGTTCTCTCGTGAACACGGTTCTGGCTGCTACGGGGTTCCCCGTATGCCTACAATTAGGAGTAGTGGTAGGTAGGTAGTTTGAGGTGAAATTGAGAGAAGAACATAGCTTTAAAAAAAAAAAAAAAAAAAAAAAAAAAAGGCAGCTAGAATGGCCGGACTTTATATTCGGGGGAAGATGGGTAGTGGTGCATGAATCGGACTACACAGTAGGCTCTGGCAGCCGGACGGCTGGCGGTGTTTAGCAACGCCAGTGTAATGGGGAGAGGAGTAGAGAGGAAAGTATACGCAGGTAATACGCCTGGCTCGACTACTCAACGCTCTACATGTATCTGCTCTCTTTTCTGCACCGTGTACATGCGGACTGATCCGACAATAGGTATGTACTTGAACGACATTGAGGCCCCAATTCATGTACGAGGTTGTGCAGTCGATCGAGGCCGAATGGCTGGTGCGCATTGCCGCGGAGGAAGAGTAGCTAGCAGTCGGATAGATGATTACAGAGGCAGGCACACGAGATTCCAGTTCTGGGGTGCGATGCGAGGTCAGGTCTCTGTCGGGTCCACAGACACTGTTGATTGAGAACACAGTGTGCCCCTCGCTCCAGTACTCGCTAGATGCAGAAAAGACCAAAAATATGGCGATGCCTTTTTTCATGTTTATCAGTAGATTCATTTCCATGTCGTACGTTTGGTGAGTAGTGGAGCGAGGCCCATGTTGTGCAGCAAAAGGCAACCCGAGACGTGCGGGCCGCGACAGCATCCCGAGAGAGGGAGGAGGAGGCCCCACGCTCCGACGTACTGAAGTCGGGAAATCCGAGGAACGCGGCGATCGAGAGGACATCCTTTAATACTGGAATGCGCAGGGATGACACGCATAAAGAGAGAGAGAGAGGGGATGGATATGGGTAAACCCGATCACAGTGGAGTTGTAAGCCCGATAGGCGTAAGATTGGTTGGGAGTGTCCGTTGTGCCGATGCGTAATGATAGCTCCAAACATTGTCGCGACCTGAAGCGTGAGTCGCGAGACCTGGGGTTCGACAGAAAACTTGTTCTCCGCGCTTGCTTTGCGGGGGTAGGAGGGGGACGTAGCGCTCGTGGAGCTGAGGAAAGCAGGTATTGTGAGAGGGAGAAGGAAGGGAGGAAGGTGTTTCAGCCCCTTTCAGGAGGAGGAGGAGGAGATGAGGAACTGGTAGGCGTATAGATCGCGTCATGCAGTAGTGGTACACAGATCGAAGGCAAATTGCGCAACATCTGTTACGCAACAGTGTCAGCCATCTCGACGACAGAAAGGAAGCTGAAGGTAAGGATTTAAATCGAGTTCGAGTAATTCACTGGGGACTCAATTTGATTTATTGAAGCGGGATTGCGATTCTCGATTTCTCGAATGAAATTTTCGGACTCTGTCGGATGGAGTTGTGGACCGAATTGACTTGAATTGCCTTCAGTTGCATTGAAAACAGCAATCAACCAGGACTGCGGGACGTGTGTGTGTGTGTGTGTGTGTGTGTGTGTGTGTGTGTGTGNGAGAGAGAGAGAGAGAGAGAGAGAGAGAGAGAGAGAGAGAGAGAGAGAGAGAGAGAGAGAGATTCGTGCTGACGATCCTTGGAACGGGTGTTGTTCCGTTCGACGCGTCGGAGCTAATGAACGAAACCACGTCGCAGTGGTCAGATGCTCGGAAATTGACGACACTTTGTGTCTTTAGAAGCCACGTGTGAGTGCCGCCTGGAACTCCCTTTCGTCTGTCTTCCATTGCGACTGATCGAAGTCCGCAGAGGACGTTACCGTTCCCGATTTTAGTGTGGTTCAATTTTTTTAACAGTATTGATTGCCTACCTGCTACTTAGCTTTCGTCTGTCTTCCATTGCGATCGACCGAAGTCAGCCTGGTTCTTGGATTGATTTGTAGCTGTCCGTCTTCCATTGCCACCGATCGAAGTCAGCTTGGCTCTTGGATTGATTTGTAGCCTCTGCTGGGTGAGTCATCTCGATTCGCTGCCTCTCGGCTTTGACGGTCGCCTCCACCCGCAAGGCGTTTGTGTCTGGGACAGCATTACTTGCGTTGGTGCACGTCCGTTGGATCCAACCCTTCGGGCCGTTGCTACGAACCAACGCCGCTGATTCATTATCTTGATTGCCAGCCGTCAATCGGCTGTGGCTGATCCGCTAATTAGTGATTAGTTTGATTGATTGGTATCATCCTCTGTGCTTCATCGATGGTAATTAGTGATTAGTTTGATCGATTGCTCTCATCTCCTGCGCTTCATCGATTGGTCCGTGTCGATCAAAATCGGTAGCGGCGGGCGGCGGATCGAATCGGCGGAAAGTGAACTGAGTACGTGCGCTCGCTATCTTTCGCAAGCTCCGCTGTGTTGGCCGACAACACTTGGACATTGTGTTTTTACTCTCTCCCTCTCTCTCTTTCCCCCTCCTCTCTCGACTGTCTTTCCTGATCTCTTCTCTTCTTGTGTGTGTTTTACTCTCTTTTTTTTGTGTGATCCGTAGTGTTCTGGCCATTTGTTCGACGAGTCTCCTGCGTGAACCAATCGAACGAACGAGAGATTAGTGATTTATTTTTTCCGTTTGTTTTGGGTTGTCGGACCGAATTATTCGCTCGGTGGCAATTGTATTGGATGGGTGACGACACTTGAGTAGGGGGCGGCTGCGAGATCTGTCTATTTCTCTACTACGCGGCAAGAAGTGCGTGACTCTGGTCGAGAAATTCCTTCAGCGTGCGTGAATCTAGCATGGTACTCGATCCGCATTCGGACGGTCGATGTTGTGTTTCATTAGGTGTGTGAGAGACGCCGGCCTGTGTGAAGGCGGCGTGGTTGGCTTAATTAGCATTGTTAGCACAGCTAGCAGGAGGGGAAAGAGTACAAAGGTGACGAGGCGGAAGTGGGTGTGGTTCTTGTTACTAACTCGGATCATTACAAGGAGACTAGTGGGCGGAGAAAGGTGTAGGGGAAAAAGAGCGGGAGGAGGGCGAGGAGGAAAGAGGTATAGGGAAGGAGGAGAGAAGAGAGACTAGTCGAGAGCGAAAAGGCGGTGAGAGAACAGTTCTGAGTGAAAACGTGCCCAAGTGATGGCCGACTCTGCGGTAGCGTCGACTGGCTTGCCGTACTCTCTAAGTGTGAAAACGCATCCCTCGCCGCGTTCATCTAGAGACTGGAAAGATGAAGATCGCGATCGGGATAGCAATTCAGGAACACCTCGGCGGCGTTTGTCAATGAGCTCTTCGGGCGAGTTTAGGCCTCAGCTGTCGGCAGTCGACTTCCGTCGGGATACCAATTCAGGAACGTCATCGTCGCCGTTAAGAGCGCGCCCAGACGAATCGCCGCCATCGCCTTCGGCGGCAGCAGCATCGCTGAGCAAGTTCGGGGTTGGGGGTTGTGGTGTCGGTGGAGGAGTTGCATACCAACAACAGCAGCAGCGGTCGGGGTCGGGATCGCCAAGGATGAAGCACAACTCGTCTTATCCATCGCTGAACAACCCGCCATCTCTGACCACTTTGAGAATGGATTGGCAAGCAAGACATGGAGGAGGCGGAGGAGGGGGAGGTGAGAGGAACGGGGGGGGTGCAGTTTGTGTAGGAGGAGATGGAAGCGCTACCGGCCAGTCGGTGGGCAATGGCGATACAGTGGACGAAGATAGGACAGATTCAATGAATCAGGGAAAAGGAGGGGCAAAGCAAGAAAGGCTCTTGGTGGTGGCTAACCGGTTGCCAGTGTGCGCGAGGAGAGAAGCAGATGGTTCGTGGCAGTTGGATCTGAGTGCGGGAGGACTCGTCAGCGCTCTACTAGGTGAGAAAACGGTTCAAGGTATCATCATTTTGTCATAAGAGTAAGAGTACGAGAGCTCCTCCCCCTTCTCCCAAGTTCCTCAACAGTACATTGTGGGTTTCCCTGACAGAGCAGAACACTTGGCGATTGTATCATTGTCCAAGTGTCTGCCGCAGTTTTTCTCATTCTTGCTACTACCGCTCGCACCGATTTGTGCGCTCTAAGTTGTCATCCAACTCTTACCTTCTCTCTCGCTCTCTCTCTGTGCGTGGGTCTCTGTGTGTGTTTCTCTCCCTCTTCCCTTGCCCATGCCTCTTATATGGTCGTTCTATTCATAATTTCATGTCATATATCAATGATCTCTCTTTCTCTCTGTCTCTCTTTCTGCATCTCTCTCTCTGTATCTCTCTCTCTCTCTCTGTATCTTTCTCTCTCTCTCTCTCTCTCTCTTCCCTCGCGCATGCTTCTTTATGTGGTCGTTCTATTCATATTTCATATATCAATGATCTGTCCTCTCCCTCTCGCTCTCTCTCGCTTTCTCCCTCCACGGACTTGAGTTCTTTATTTCACATGTTTTGCGTGATAAACACGGCGGGAGGTGTCTGCTAACGATTGTCTTTTTTGAGAATCTGCATGCCACCGCTGCACTCGCTGCAAGCTCGTTTGCTCATTCTGTCTGACTCATCTCTCCGTGTCCTCTGCGGATATGTATGCGTATAGTGGGTCGATATGACACACGGGGGTGGGGGCAGCCGCCGCTCAACCTACATCCACGTGGGCGGCCTTGTACGCAAGAGGTTCTGAACAGGGGGAGTTATAAGGAAGAAGATGAAAAATTGAATTCATTTTTTCTTGTTTTTCTTTCTTTTTTCCTTTTGTTCTTTTTGTTCGCATTTGCGCTCTGATACTCTTGTGACAACAGTCAGGTCATTTTGGACGTGAATGAATTTTTGCGTTCATTGTCGAATCATACTTTTTTCTGGATTATTGACCGACTCTCGTGTGACACCTGTCGGGACAGAGACGCGGTGCGCCTTGGCTGTGGAATGCATCATCTATGCCATAGCCATTATCAATCTATTGCGACTGCMGCCGTCTGTTCTGAAGGGTGTCCAACATTTCCTCATTGTACACATCCCTATCACCCAGATATACGTTGTCCCTTTTGTGCCCAAGGACGCTATTAGAACTGTATGATGCCGCACTGTGATGAACGTCCTGCTGGTTTTTTGACATGTGGGCAACATGTCCTCTGTCAGGGCTGTTTTGATGGGATGGTTCGTGCTAGCCGTCCTGCTGAATGCTGTGCTGGCGCAGCTCTCCTTGGGCATCCTTGTGAACATCCACATCATCCTCACCGTAGCTGTACTATCTGCCGAGGTGGGGACAGGTAAAGAAAAAAAGAATAAAAGAAAGAGAAAAAAAGAAAAGAGAAAATAAGAAAAAAAGAAAAAAAGAAAAAAGAAAAGATATGTTGATCTGTGGGATGTGTTATTTGCTTAGTGACAATTGGATTATCTTTCTTTCCCTGTCAGGTTTGGTTTCCTCCTTTTCTTTACCTCTTTGCCTTTTGGCAGCGTGCAAGTGGGTCCTTGTGACACACGGGGATGGGGGCAGCCAGCGCTCAACCTGTCATCCACGTGTCTGGCCTTGTACGTAAGAGGTGATGAACAGGCGGAGCTTTCCTTCTTTCTTTTTTTTGTTTTGTCTTTTCCCGTGTGGCAATATGCATGTAATATTTGACGATATGTATGCACATGTGCATATAATCCCCCTCCGTGGACCTTGAATTCAGAATTGAATATCTTCTTTGGTTTATGCTCATGCTGCGTTTTTTTTTTTTTCCCCTTTCGAGTGTTTTTCTGCGAATGCATTCTTTGTGGAGCGTTGTGCAACGATGTTTTTTTGCATTCCACCCACCCCGCCCCCCTGCGCCCCCCTTTTGTCGCGATGGTGGTGCTTGTATGTGTTGGTTTGTCTGTCGACAGATACACATACGAGCACCAGCTCGTATGTCTACGACAGCCTGAATCTTCGCCAGCTCGGAAAAGTAGTGTACTCTAGAACCCATGGATTGCCGTTGTTGTTGTGGTCTTTGGGAAGGGGGTACCGACTGATCGTTTTCGTTGCTATTTGATCTTGTGAGATTCCAACTGTCGTCGATCAATTAACGCTTGGAGGTGTGTGCTATTTAGCCACATGGGCTGGGTGGGTACCTTTCTCTTTTGCATGCATTTATTTTCTTGTGGTGTTGAAATTTACTAAGTTGTCATTTTCAAACTCTCGTCTCGCTATTAGCGCTTCGAGGTCTGTCCTATTCAGCCACATGGGCTGGGTGGGTCGTATTGCCTTTTAACCTTTTGCATTCATTGTCTTGGACTTGGTGAAGTGCACGTATCATGCACTCACGCACGTAAGGACGGACGGATGCAGCTGAGTTCTCGCCCATGAAGTGCACGTATCATGCACTCACGCACCGAAGGGCGGACGGATGCAGCTGAGTTCTCGCCCATCTCTGCTGCGTCGCGAACACTCTGCTCCAATACTATGCAGCACTGTGCGCTACACGTACTATGCACGTGTGCACTCAGAAACGTACTATGCAGCCGGCGTGTCGACACCTCTGCTGGGTCGCAAAGATTTATTTGCTCTTCTCCCCCCCGCCGCTTATTGCTGGGATTGTGGGATTGCTCATCCATGATGCATTCGTTTGCTTTGATTCCTCCCAAATCCTTTTTTTTTTGGCCCTTTTAATTCGTTTTCAGATGCGAGGTTTGCAGCTCCGAGGATTTTTATGCTTTTTATTTATCATCTTTCTTTTCCACGCATTATCAGACTTCATGGCCTCCTTGATTCGATTTGCTCGTAATTTCCGGATCCTTTCTTTTGTATTTAGCAGGGAAAAAAGTGGTCTGATCGCTTTGCACACATCCTATTTCAATCAGATTGTTCATTTTCACTAACGCGATTGGTAGTTGGAAGCGGGGGCAAAGGAGGAAGGAGGGAATGGCTGCTGCCATCTTAACCTGAATAAACAAAGCCCGGCCATTACCGCTGTATCTGGACTGAAACTTTTGGCCCAAAGAACGGTAGTTTTGTTCATGACGAGTCTCTTTTTCTTGGGGGGGGCAGGGTGAGTCTGTGTTCCGCCATCATGATCTACACAGAAGAATTATGGAAAAAAAAGAAAAGAGTTACTGTTTCTGACCTTTTCTTTTTTTTTTTCCCGTCCCTTCTATTTCTGCATTTTTCGTTCCTTTTCCTGTTCTCCTAGGTCACCCGCGCCTCCCCTACTGTGGGATGTGTTATTTGCTTTGTTAGGCTGATAGGGCTTTCTCTTCCCTTGTCCTTTCTTTGACTGGATCTCTTTCTCTTTCTCTTGCCTCTGTGAGGTTTGGTTTCCTCTTCCTTTTTTTTACCTCTTTACCTTTTGGCTGCGTGCAAGTGGGTCCTTGTGACACACGGGGATTGGGGCAGCCAGCGCTCAACCTGTCATCCACGTGGCTGGCCTTGTACGTAAGAGGTGATGAACAGGCGGAGCTGTCCTTCTTTCCTTTTTTTGGTTTGTCTTTTTCCGCCTTTGCTTTCCGAGTCACAGTGTGACAATATATACGCTCTGATATTTCTGTGACGATATATATATCTTTTTTGTCTCCTTTCATTTTTTTCGCTTTTGTGCTCTGATGTCTTTGTGACGATATATATGTATACATCTAGGATTTGTTTATGTTTGTTTCCCCCTGTTTTGTTATATTTGGCTGTTCCCTTCCTCTTTCTTTGCCTCCTTGCCTTTTGGCTGTGTGCAAGTGGGTCGATATGACACACGGGGGTGGGGCAGCCGCCGCTCATCGTTCATCCACGTGGGCGGCCTTGTACGCAAGAGGTTTTGAACAGGGGGAGTCGTAAGTAAGAAGATAAAAAATGAATTGATTTTTTTCCGCTATATATACGTTTTTTTCGGGTCAGGTCGAGCGGCAGTGGTCGGGGCCGTTACTAGGCGGCCATGCTGTGCCTCTAGTGCCAGCGGCGTGTCTGGAGTGTATTTTTTG